TAATGCATAAGTGTTGGAACAGTACATAGAGTAGGCTAAATAAATGTCCCTATTAAAAGGAATATTCCTGTGATAATGTATATCTCTATTATAAGAAATAATACAATGATGAACTGTTAGAAGTAAAGCAGTGGAATGGACTCTGTCATAACAGCAATACTAATGGTTACTGAGCACTCGCTCTACACGGGGCATGTGCTAAGAGCCTCACATATATTAACTCAGTCCTCATACACAACTCAAGAGGGAGGTACACTTTCCTTCTTGGTGTTGCAGATGATCTGACAAAGCACAATACAATTAAATAATTTGTCTAAAGACACAGAACTAGTAGAGGTCAGAGCTAGGACTTGACCCCACAGTATCAAGACTCAGAGCCTGGGCTATTAACCACTTTACTACCCTGTCTCCCCTGCAGAGTCAGTTTCCATTCCCCAAAACTATTCTAGCATCTGCCACCCGAGATTTTGCTTGGATAGAAAGTTGAGATAGCTAGTTTTTAGGATCACCACAATGTTTTTTTAGGTTTCTATAATTGTTTAAGTCCCTTTACCCTACTCATCAGTTTTCTATTTTATTCATATAATTATTTTTAAAAAATGTGTACTGGAATGTTCTGTGGGAGATAAAGCTAATTTTTTTTTCAGTTTGAATTTGTTTCCTTTATGATCTAGAAGAGAATGGCAATAAATTTTGTATACATAATCTATCTTTTTGGTTGAGGGCTGAAAACAAAGTTCAGGCTCATCTTGGCTATCAAGCTTTATTGCCAAGAAAGAGTTTAGAGGTGGTACAGACATCAACTGTAGTTGTTCCCTGTTGTGAAAGGAAGGACAGAGGCACCCAGAGAAGAATGTGTCAGAAGAAGCATAGGTCACTGAATCTAGAGAGTCAGTAGGTCTGGGTCATATTTAAGGCTAGGATGCTAGAACTGGTCAATACCTCGAACACCTAAACTCTTTAGGGCTCCCCAGATATCTAATGAGGAGTCAGGTTGGACTTCCCGGACCCTGTCTCTGTGAGTGAAGGTTTTAAAGTGTCTATACTCTCAAGACAAATCAGAACGTATCGGTGTACTTGAGCTGTGAACACAGGAATGAACACTCTGGTTACATACATATTGAACATCTATTATCTGTGAGGCAGAGTGCTAAATAGTAAGGATACAGAGATAAATGTACCTCAGACACCTGATGAGTTAGAAATGGAAGCATGTCATTACCCTTTCATGAGTGTGATAATAGAGATATATACAAGTTGCCAGGGAGCAGACAAGATGTAGTACTTTATGGGATATTACAAGGTGGATGATTTTTTAATACAGTTTTGAGAGGAGTCTGTGAGCTGTATGAGATTGAGGAGGGTGTTCCAGGCAGAGGGCATGATTCGTGCAAAGATAACAGCATATCATATCAGAATATCAGAAAATGACACATTTGGGAACCTGAAAGTGCTTCTATATGGCTGGGGTAGGAGATACAAGGGAGTAGTTCAGTAGGAAGAGGATAAACAAGCAGAAAAGGGTCAGTTCAAGAAGAGCATTCTGTCTTGTGCTCAGGAATCTAGATGTTATACCACAGATAATTAGAACTCAATTAAAAATTCTTCACAGCACAAACACAGAAAAATTCATTTTAGAAATTTCAATTGGAAAATAATATTTAGAATCAATAGGAGTGCCAAGAAAGGAAGTTACTGATATAGTCAAGTAGGAGACGATGAAGACTCCAGTTAAGGTAGCAATATGAGAACGGATTACAGAGAATTTAGGTAACGGAGGAGGGAGAGTAACTTGATGATCAGTTAAGTGAAGCAGATGAGGATAGAAAAGAAACAATGTTGATTCTAGATTTCTGGCTTGGACGGCATGATCAACAGCAGTGTAAAATCTTTAGTGTGTTTAAAACTCTACTAGTAAGAAATTACATTTATCTTCTATGAACAAGGACCTGAGGGCACTGGCAAATAAGGATTGTTTTCTCCTCACATAAAAGTTTTTCTAATGTTGACAGTCCATGACTACTATGAGAGATCCAAGAATTCATCAGAGATCTATGCCTTTTCTCTTTCCACTAGCCATCCTGTGTGTTGTTTCCAGCTATAAGGTTGCCTTATAGTTCAAAGTTGGTGCAGGAATTCAAATTTTCATATGTATGTTCCACGGTATGCACCACTCTCCCCCTTTTTAAAGAGGCTTTCTGAAAATTTTATATAACTTTTCTGGTTATCTCATAACCAGATAAATAACCAAATAAATATCTCATTTATCAGACCCTGGTCATTGGGCCTCACCTAGGCATACTATCTGCTCAGACTCTTTACTTTGGTTAACAATGTGCACAGGTATGATTTAGGGTCCTATTCCTAAGGCAGAAGAGGAGAATATGGGGCAACTCTTGATCTCAGTAACAAATAAAGAAAATTCGAGTTTGAAAGAAAAATGATCCTATCTCGCTTTGTAAACATTGCAAAGCCTACCAAATGCCATGCACAAAATAGAGCCTCAATAAAGTTTATTAAATTGTTTTGAGCCATTTTAACCATGTGAGTTTCTCTTTTAACATCCTTGGGTCTTCTTTGTTTCACAAATTCTACCACATATTTCGACCAAGATTATATAGTTCGGGAAAACTAAGAAATTTTAAATTTGTTTCTTGGTTGTTCCAAGGGTAGACTTTAATTTGGATTTGTGTGTGTTTAGAGGGCCATAGCTGGACCTACGCAGATGGGTGTAGGTATAGGAATGAGACTACTTTATACTGTTTGATTTTTGAAATATATTCCCCTCCACTACCACCACACACACACAAATTAAATACTACTTTATTGCTTTACTGAACTAAATTATCTCTTCTTTCTTTATTGTCAATGTTATTCTTCAGCTTTGGTTGTTATCTTCATTTTTTTGTTTGTTCTCTTTTACTTTCACTTCCAAGAAAAACTGGATGTCTTTCTTGGAGGGAAAAATATGATAATATTTTCTGCATAAAAATGTTATTTTTTGTGTGTTTATGGTTTAAATCCTTGTCTACATTGTTGAACATGTACAGACATGTATTTGTTTAATAGATGTCAAGTCCTCAGCAATAGTAACCAAGGGAGTTCCACGTTTAAGCTGTCAGTAAGTCTCCCGGTAGGACAGGCCCCAAAGGTATAAAAGGAATGAAAGGGTTAGAAGGATTTGTTGTAGGCCCGTAGCCACTATTATAAAGTTAACACAACAGTCATGCTGAGCTCAGTGCCTAGCAATACGCATGGCATGAGGAGCTTGTGGTAACTATGTGGGACATTCTCTGAATCTCTCTGGTTCTCTGCCTCCCTGGTCAATGTCTGGGATCTCAATGTGAGGGTAAAGTTATCTGACCAGTTTGGGTCAAGGAGTTTTGAGTAGATGTGACAAACACCATTTAATTGCTGGTGCAAGACTCTGGAGAGAACTCCCTTCTGCCTCTAGCAGAAGCTGAACTTCAAGATGATGGTAGAGTGGAACTCCTAAACCATGATGGTCACATGACACGAATTAGGATCAAATCTTTATTTTTTTAATTACCTCTTTTTTTTCCATTGTTGTTGTTATTGTTGTTACCCAAGTACAATCTGACTATCCTGAATAAAAGACATCTCAATTATCTTTGTTTATAATGAATGAGGAAACAACAATGAAACAATAGGTAGTACTTTGCTTTTAATTTAGCAAGAAAGCCTGTTTGCAGGAAGTGACTTAATTCACTGAATGTGAGAGATTAGATTTGGAGATTTCATAGTGGGATTGCTTCACTGGCATTCTTATAAATCAACAAGAGACTCCTATTGCCTCAACATCATGACCAGACTCCCCATCCTGATTTTCAAGACCCTCAATCACTGGCTATAGCCAAGTTACCCTAATTATCCCACAAGTTCCCACTGCTTCTGTCCCACTAATTGCTTCATTAATTAGCGTATTGTATGCTAATTCCTGCCTTTCTGCTTACACCTAGGCATCTGCCCTCATCTTTACTGCTTTCTCTTCTCCCTTCTTCATAATTAAATCCTGGGAGAATGTAAGTGAAAATGACAAAGTAAAGACTTCCAGAAAATCTCTCTGCCATAGGAGCAATGAGAAAAGTTATAAAAATGGTCAAAAATCAGCATTTCAGTATTCTAAAATTTGTCTGATTTTCGTCTGTCTCAGGACATTCACAGGCAGAGGTTTAGGCTCGCTCTGTCCAGTTGGGGTTTGCAGAGAGCATACAAAATGGAAGAATTCATGCTAAGGATTTGGCACAAGAAAATGAAGTTACGGGTGTATCTGACAATGCCTTAAAGCAGCACCCATAGAACACTGAAAACCACAAAAACCACAGACACACCCAGAGATAACTAGATGGCACGACTGCAGACATGGATAAGATGTGGAAGCAGCATAAAAGGGAGAAAGGAAGGAACTCTGATGCCAATGAGCCACCCCAGAGAGGACGATTCCCTGCTGGTCACCTTGCTGATTTCCGTGCCTCTTGTTCTTCCCTTTGGCTGGACCGATTTCCTGTTCCGACTCCTGTGCCAAGGGCTTTGTGGATTTTTGTTCGTAACCCCTTACATATTGAATGCTGTGTTTAGTGTTAGTTAATATGTTTTTATGATACTCATATGATTTAATGTGTGATGTTTGATTGAGTTTCCGTAAAGGAACACCAGGCTGTTACCGCTGTCCCCGGACCTCAGTCACTTGTGGCGAGATCCTTTGAATTTACTCTAATAAATTCTGGCATTGTGGAAAGACACAAAAGGGAGTGGACAACCAATTATTAACTGCTCATTACAGGGTTAGAGACTCAAACACTAATTACCCACTTCTGCCCAGCTTCTATTGCCTAAGAAAGGGATGTTATTATTCTTGGAGGCCCTTGAGTGAGGGCTGAGGCCTGAATCCTGAGCCCACTGGAAGCCCAGCCCCTACTGCTTTAACCCCGGACCTAACAGGTCAGAATTTGGACTGTCTTCTTGTAGAGAGATGGACCAATAGATGGATGATGGAGGGATGGATAGCCATAGATGAACAGTGCCTTGCACACAAACTGCTGAGTGGAAGCATTTCAGTGAGCATGACAGCCTGTGGCACGTCAAATAAAGAAGTTAACTAAAGTCTTGCAGCATTTGTTCAAGAAAAATGGCTGAATCTTGCTCAGAGGTATAAGCTCCAAGGCATTTTAACTTGCTGTTTCCCATTCCCCTCTTTTCAGCTCCAGAGTAACCTTGCAAACCAACAAATGTACTCTTGGTAAAAACCAACAGCAGCCAACCAGGCAAAATGAGGTTGGAGTTCTTTTATAACCTCATTCTCAGAAAACTGTCATTATTTAGCCTGTGTGGTGGTTCACTGGAAGAGCACTTTCAAAGCTGTCTTTATTTGAACTGATTTGGAACTTGCTCAATGACAAGAGGCTTGCCCCCAGGGATGTTTGTTAACAATTAAAAAAAAATTCTTACTTCAAAGATGCCTGAGGCATTGGATAAAAGTTGGGAAAAATAATAGGCTAACCGAAATGCTTAAAAGCTGAGAAATGATGGGGGCCGGCCCAGTGGCTTTGTGGTTAAGTTTGCATGCTCCGCTTTGGCAGCCTGGGGTTTGCAGGTTTGAATCCCAGGCCCGGACCCACACACCACACATCAAGCCATGCTTTGGTGGCATCCTACATACAAAATAAAGGAGGATGGGCACAGATGTTAGCTCAGAGCCAATCTTCCTCAGCAAAAAGAGGAAGATTAGCAACAGATGTTAGCTTAGGGCCAATATTCCTCACCAAAAAAAAATTTTTAAAAACTGAGAAATGAGCTGCCCATAGGAGGTTGGAAAATTTCTGACATATTCTTTGTAATCTAGAAGGCCACACACATGTGTAGGTCTGTGTGCATGCTCAAGAAACAGCTGAGAGAGATCTAATTTCTTATCTCTACCTGATGCTGAGTCTCTGTGCAGACAGGAAGTGAAGGTTAAGGCAAGGGGGTTTGGTAAACCATCTGGACCATTGTGGAAGGTGTGCTCCAGCACTCACACAGAACACCTCAGGAAAGGCAGGGGGACACACTGGCTCTAGGAGTTTAAGGAAATCTCTGTCTTATCGTTAGCTGAGCACTAAGCTAACTGAACAGAAATTTCAATGGCCACACATAACAAAATTATAAACATTACAGATTTAGTTCAGAAAATCCACTAAACAAACAAACTACAACATCAACAACAAACAGTAGCAGCAACAATTCCTGGAGAAAGACAAGAATTTGATTTCCATATTTACTTCACAATATTTCATAAAATGTTCGGTTTTCAAAAAAGATGATGAGATATGTAAAAATAAAATCCTCTAAATTAGAAAATGTAGATCACACACAGGAAATAAAATCAATAGAAACTGTCCTTGAGAAAGACCAGACTTTGTACTTACTAGAGAACAATGTTAAATCAGTTATATTAAATATGTCCAAATAAATAAAGGAAATCATGTCTAAATAACTAAAGAAAAATATAAGAATGATGTCTCAGAAAATACAGAATGTAAATAAAAATATAGAGATTATTTAAGAAAAGAATCCAATAGAAATTCTGGAGTTGAAAAGTACAAAACTAAAGAGAAAACATTATTAGTGAGACTTATCAGCAGATTTGAGCAGGGAAAAGAAAAAAAAGTGTACTTCAAGTGTATCAACTGAGCTTTACCAGTCTGAAGAACACAAATAGAAAAAGAGTGAAGAGGGGGGCGGAGTCAAGATGGCGGCGTAGGCAGACTCTGAACTCACCTCCTCCCGTGGACACAGCCAATTTACAACTACTCGTGGAAAAATTACCCCTGAGACAGAACT